CCTTCTCCATTCTCTTCCCAGGATTTTGGGCACTCATGCACATGCGCCCAGTGTGAGTTTCAAACTTCTGGGCCTGGGACTCGAACCACAATTGGCCATGTGGGAGTCTAGTTCCTCAGCCACCATACCGCCTGTTGGCCCCAAAGCTTATCTTTTCAAAGTTTTGTTTTTTTCCAATCATTTAGACAGGTATTTTTCTAAAGTAGGAGAGAGTTGACGGCTTATGGAAACAAAAAGTAAGAAAGTCACTGTTCGAGAACCAGCAGTTAGCGTAATGGCTATGTCGCTGGACTCCCACGTAGTCGACTGCGGTTCACGTCCCGGACCCGGTGGCTTAAAACTCACGCTAGGCGCGTGTGCGTGCGTGCCCAAGATCCTGAGGAGAATGGAGGAGAAGGGATTGCGGTGTGACCATCCCCCTTGGGGGGTGATTTCTTGATTTCTGTTTCTCTCTGTCTGGCGAACGCACGAAACAAAAATCTCTCCCCCCCCCAAAGAAAAAAAAAAAAACAGAAAAAAAAAGAAAGTCACTGTTCTTTTACATTTTTAAAAAGAATTATTTATTTAGTTTTTTATTATTATTTTTACTATTAACTTCATTTTAATTTTTTCTTGGAGAGGAGAGTTTTCTTTTTTCTTTTTTTTTTTTTTTGGTGTTGTTATAGGGCACTTGTGCTCGCCAGCAAGACAGAGACAGACAGAGAGACAGAAAGCGAGAAATCACCCCCCAGGGGGGATGGCCACACCACCATCCCTTCTCCTCCATTCTTCTCTCGGAATCTGGGGCACACACACACACGCGCCCGGTGTGAGTTTAAGCCACCGGGTCCGGGACTCAAACCACGATCGACTACATGGGAGTCCAGTGGTATAGACATTACGCCAACTGCTATTCTCTATTATCACAGTTTTGCTACAGGGCATGTGCACTCACCAGAAAGAGAGAGAGAGAGAGAAAGTCACGAGGTCTGAGACTCGGAACCGTGCTGAGCCCTGAGAGAGTCCCAGCGCCTTAACCACCGCGCCACCTGCCAGCTCCCACCTGTTAGCTTTGGACGACTCTAGGTTAGTAGCCGGATGTCAGGGGCTGGCCCAGCGCTGAGGCAGGTTAATGTGGGGCGGGCTCGGGGCTTGACGCTTTAGCCTTTAAAGCCGGTATGCGTGCTGTTCTCTTTTTCTTGCTGTCCGCTCCCAGCTCTTACAACTGGCAGTGCCCCTGCCTTCCCTGCCTCCCCGACTCTCCTAATTAGCATGTGCTGGGAAAACAGCCAGCCAAGTCCGCTGCTCAGAATGAGGGGAAGCGGCTCTGTAAGGGGCTGGCAGGTGGCCGGGTGTTCGAGGCACTGGACTCCCACATGGCTGACCACAGTTCAAGTCCCGGACCTGCTTTCTCACTTTCCCTTTTTCTCTCTGATCAAATTAAAAAGTAATAATAAGGAATAAATGAAATGATTCTTTTTTTATTTTTATTTTTTTAAATAGAGGTTTTTGCTATAGGGTGTGTGCGCTCACCAGAAAGAGACAGAGAGACAGAAAGCGAGAGACCACACTCGCACACCTCCCCCGGGGGATGGCCATGCTGCAATCCCTTCTCCTCCATTCTCCTCGTGGGATCTTGGGAACGCGCACACATGCACCTGGCATGAGTTTAAGCCACTGGGTCCAGGACTCGAACCGCAGTCAACTACATAGGAGTCCAGCGACATAGCCATTATGCCAACTGCCAGTCCCTGGCTGGATACCATCCTGAAGCGTGTGATTTCCCATGCGACCCTCAGCCAACCACACAGACTCACGCCTCAAAGTTGCAGCCTTCACGACATCATTCTCGAAGGGACGAGACAAGAACAATGCAGTCTGACACGCCGGGGTCTGACCCTGCATTGCCCCTGCTTAGCCCCTCCGCGAGTGCCCCGAGGAAGTGCTCTCCTCCTGAGTCTAGACGACCCTTGCACCCGCAGTGCTGTGGGTAGGCGGTAGGATCCAGCAGGTTCGCCGTAGAAGGGACGTGAGCTCCGTGAGGATGGTGGGGCTATTGGTGATCCATTCAGCCTTTTTCTTGGCACTGGGGCAGTGTTGATAGACAGCTCCCGAATGAATGAATGAATGAGTGAGTTAGTGAGTGAATGAGGCGGTCTGCCAGCTCACATTTCATTCGGTCCAGCAGTCCCCAACCGTTTTGGCCCCAGGGCCTGGTTTCGTGGAAGACACTTTTTCCGTGGAACGGGGGTGGGGTGGTTTATGAGTGTGCGCAGCCTAGATCCCTCCCATGCACAGCTCACGGTGGGGTTCAAGCCCCTATGAGGATCTCAAGCCCCGCTGATCTGACGGGAGTGGCACTCCGGCGGCACGCTGAGCGATGGGGAGCGGCTGTAAATACAGAAATACAGATGGAGCTTTGCTGGCTCGCCGGCCACTCACCTGCCGCGCATCCTGTTCCTAACAGGCCGTGCACCGTCTGGGCTGGGGACCTCTCATTTTGGTTGCATGTTGTTATCTGGGTTGTGTACAGAAGAAAGGCTTGCTTACTTTTTTTTGCAGAATGAATGTTTAGTGAAAACATAAGTTGTTATTTTCTTTTTTTTGGAGAGGGTTTTGTGATAGGGCACGTGCGCTCGCCAGACAGACAGAGAGAGACAGAGAGACAGAAAGCGAGAAATCACCCCCTAGGGGGGTGGCCACACCACAATCCCTTCTCCTCCATTCTCCTCTCAGGATCTTGGGCATGCACGCACACGCGCCCGGCGTGAGTTTTAAGCCACCAGGTCCAGGACTCAAACCGCGGTCGACTACATTGGAGTCCAGCAACATAGCCATTACGCTAACTGCTGGTCCAGTAAATTGTTATTTTCTAGACAGGGTCTCACTGTCAGCATTACCCTGACAGCTTTCTGGCTGGTACCGCAGGTGTGTGCCACCACGCCTAGTTCTTAGGGTCTTGCTGCCTTGCCCCGGCCAGCCTCCAGCTCACAATCCCCTGGCCCAGTCCCAGGGATGACAGGCTCGCGCCATGCACTGGGCCGCTAGGTGGCGCTGAGATAGAACCCGGGGCTCCCACGTGGTCCACCGCAGAGCTCAGTGTCAGCCGCGTGCCCTTTCACCTGGGCCAGGGTGAGGGGTTTTTAAAGATGGTGGTGGAGGGCGTAACCCCAAAACCAAACTCGGCAGGTTGGGTTCCCTTAGGCTGGGACACCTGTCCTTAGTATTCCTTTGCCAATGACCCATAGGCGTCTCCGAAAAGAAAAAATACTCATCGTCATTTTGTTCTCCTTTTCTCTGTTTTCGTCCTTCAGACTCACCAAAACCACCACTTGCTCCCAAGCCGAAGACGCCCAGTCCACTCACGCCAGGGACTGCACCCAAATTCCCTTCCTCTCCCAGGCCTGACGGGCTCCGCAGCCCCAACTCCATGTCCAGGGGCCCCAAGCCCCCCATCGCGCCGAAGCCCAGGCTGGCCGCCCCCCGGGGCCCTGCGGGGGGCCCCGGTCCAGCCTGGAGTGCTCGGAGTCGGAGACGGACGAGGACTACATCGTGGTCCCCACGAGAGAGGAGCCCAAGGACTGGGCCCATGTGGAGAACGCATTCGCGGTGGCTCCAGCAGTGCCCGGGACAGATGGCCAGGAGGAGGAAGGCGAGGTGTGTGGGGCAGAGGGGACAGGAGCCGGTGAGGACCCGGCAGCCCCCGCCGGGGAGGAAGGCGAGGTGTGTGGGGCAGAGGGGACAGGAGCCGGTGAGGACCCGGCAGCCCCGGCTGGCCCAGCCGAAGAGGCGCTGAGCGGAGAAGGCGAGGGTGGCGAAGGCGACAGCCCTGAAACTGGGGAGGAGGAGGATTGTGACAATGACACAGGGACAGAGGAGCAGGCGTCCACGAGCGAGGAGGAGGAGAAGCTGGTGAAGGAGAACAACGCCTACAACCTGGGGGACCGGGGCGCCTGGGACGGGGAGGCCATCCTTCAGAGGGACATCATTCTCACTCACGTTGACCCAGAGGATCCTGCAGCTCCTGGAGAGGAGCCCCACTCGCCCGACACCCCCGGGGAGCTGGAGGAGGGTGATGAGGCAGGCCATGACAGTGCAGAGCTAGGAGGGGTGGATGAGACCGTGGAGTCCG